GCATGTCCCACACCCCTAAGTCCTGAGAGAAGAGAATTAGCCACACATCTGCATCTGTTCGTAAAAGTGAGGAAGACTTTCTCAGGAGACTCCTGCATGTATGATTTCTTTCACATCTCTGTGCCCAGACTGTATTCCATGTCCATGTCCAAACCCTTTACTGGCCAAAGGAAGAGGACACCACGGTGGGCTTTGTCCAAGCAGGAGCAACCCATGGGTTTTGGAAGTGACACAGTGTCCATGAAGGGTGAGGCCCCTGGAAAGAGGTGGACAAAGATGGAATTCTATTGGCCAAGATGAAACAGTGTCTGTCCTGCCGTGAGGACTCTCAGCCTGCCTTCCCTCTGCCTTTCTGTCCTTTCTCCTTCCTTCACCGGTCTTCCCCTTCTTTGTTCATTGGATGTTTACTGAGGGACTCAAGGGAGAGAATACACAGCTATATCCATGAGCACCTTCTAACCGAGCAGTGTGAGACTACGACTTACACCAATGTGAAATGATGTACAAGGTACCAGGGGGGCAGGGTGCATCCAAGCCGTGGAAACCCTGATGTGGACACCAGTGAGGAAGACCAGGAAGAACACTCCAAGCTGAAGTAGCCTCGGAGTTCATGGCTTGAAAAGTGTCTGCCCTCACTGACTGCTTTGTGTCCACTCTCGACTGCTGGGGGAGGCCCAGAATTCAATACTAACGGCTTGCAGACACATGTCGGAGTCTAGGCGTCTTAAAACTAGGCCTGGTCTCAGGTCTGGAAAGTGGGCCTAATTCTTCTAGGATGAGGAGACAAGTTGGATCCTCTACAGTTAAAAATAAAGGTGAGTAGGGTCTTTGTGAGACCTTGAGACAATTGTACCCTCTGCCTCGGAGCCTTATTTAACCACCTGTGACATGAGGCAATTGAAGTTGGACCTGGCAGATCTGCAGGTTCTCCCAGGTCTGAATTTCTCTTGGGGATCCCATAGCTGGGTCAGTAGCGACCATGACAAAGTGGGCCTTGGCTGTCTCAGAACTCCCTGCCACCTGCCCAGCCCTGAGGAAGCATATGCAGACCGGGGACAGGAAGAGGGCCCAGGGGACATGGTCTGCAGTGCCTGGACAGTAGGACCATGTGTCCACAGAATTCTGCCTCATGGATTATGCAGGGAGCTGTCTGGGCTTCAGCATTCAATCTGTGGTGGTCTTGGAGTCTTGGAAGCTGCCAGGCCAGAGGCCAAGCCCTAGGAGACCTGGAGGCCATGGTGACAGCCAGTGCTGGCTCCAGCTACCTCTCTTGGGCCTGGAGGGGTGGGAGTGGGGCAGTACTTTTTTGAAGTGCTTTGTCCTGGATGCTGGGAATGCAGCAGCAGCAGCAGCAACAACAACAAGGGCCCTAACTGCTTCTTTCCAAGGAAACTGTGGTCTACATATCAATCAAAGACTTATAGGAAGTGAGAACCAGCTGATGCCCCTGCTGTCTTTAAGTCTGTTGTGCCCCTGTGCTTGGCTTCTCCATTACTCAAACAGCAGCTCCTGGGAGAAGCCTTACCTCTGAGCTGATTCAGGACAGCCCTGCCCATTGACCACTAAGTCCCGCTATGCTTTTAGTGCTATGGGGTGCTGCTGACAACCTGGCATGCTCCAGCAGATTGGTTATCAAGTGTACTGTTCCTCCGGGAAGACAGACACCTTGTGTTATGCTCATCAGTACATTGGCATTGGCGGCCCCTAAGGCTGGGCCCATCATCATGGGAGAGAGGGAACAGATGACAGGGAGAGTTCACCTGCTCTAATCTGGTGACACTACTTTCATGCATTCATTCTTTCATTTCATTCATTCTTTCATTTCATTCATTCATTCACTCTGTTATGCGCTCAGCATTTGTGGAGGACTTCCTAGGTGCCAGGTGTTGTGCTTTGTGCTAGTGTTGGGAAGCAAACATGGTCACCCCCCCAGAAGGGACCATGGCTTGCATTTGCTTGTGGCCAGCACCCAGGGCAGTGCCTGGTACACTACAGCGACTCCCCACTGGTTGAATGACCTGGGAGTGAGACTGTGCTATTGGATGTGTGTGCGCATCCCATGCCACCTGCTGGATGGGAACCAACTATGAAAGCACAGTTATCTGCTGGTAGACCCTGGAATGGGAGGCTGGAGACTGGTATGTGGGACCCTAGGTCTCCTTCCAGTTCTGTAGAACCAGTGAAATAAGCATGATTTGAGGAAAGACTTCCTGTCTGTCTCCTGCTAACCTCCTTCCTCAAACCACAGCCCTTCAAAAGTAGGAAGCACAGCCTGGCACATAGTGGGTCCACAGAAACAGCATAAAGTGATAGACAACTGGGCAGTGCGCAATCTCTGTTCTTTGGGTTGAGCTCACCTAGTGGTTCATCCATAAACATGGACTGAGCACCTACTATGTGCCCACCAGTGATGTTCCTGAGATTGACAGCTTCTCTCAAGTCCACCACATGTCAAGAGAGCAGTGGGTTTGTAGCTGCTCTGCTTGGGCACACAGAAAACTGTAGTCCCTGAGTTCCCCACTAGCCAGGAATTTCCATCTTTTGCCTCACCCCTGATGTGTCTGCAGAGGTCCGGCAGCAGTACCCATCCAGCTTCTAGGCTTATTGCTTCCTGCCCCACCAAGCTGGCCATCTGATGGCTGCCTAGTGAATGCCCTATGCCCTGTGCCCATTGCAGGGTGGGCAATGGCTCAGTGTTCTTCAGAACCTAACTGCCATCAGAACTGTCCATGTCTCGTCATAGCTCTGTGCCAGGAACCTCTGTGGTGAAAGACTGGGTGTGAAGAAGCAGAAGCAGGAAACAAAGACCTTTCCCTGGAACCAGGGTCCACATCTCTTTGCAGTTGACTGCGAGCTCCTGGGAGGCCATGGGCTGGGTGTTCCTCCCCACCCAGCGCAGTGCCCTGAATACTCGATGAGCATGTACTCAACTGCTCATACTGTGGAATAACAGCCTCATACTCCCAAGCTCCAAAGCCCCTTTTGAACAAGCACCTCTGGTGCACCTCTGTGACAGAGGGAGAGAGTGAGGCTCCAGGAGGGAATGTCCTCAGTCCTTTTGAGCTCTTGAGAGTTTTCCCGATGTCCTCTGGACTGCGCTCTCTGGAGTCGCAATCTCTGGTACCATTTTACCCTCGGCACTCTGATTTGGGGGAAGATTTGGAAAAGCCTTGCTGCTCAGCCACTGACCTGCTGCCCCAGCCTTGGAAGTGGCTTTGTGGTGAGTGGTCATATGGTGTTACCCACACATCATGGGTGGTTTCTCCACTGGGTTCCCCTTTGTCTTCCTTCAAAACCTGTCTGAAATCCACCTGCACCTTCCTGCAATTTTATGGTCCTTGCACTGTAGACGGTCCTCCTGCGTGGCTGTGGTTTTAGCCAATGCATCCTTTAGGATCCAGATGCCACCTCTTCCTGGGAGCCTTCCTCGCTTTCTCTCCATCCCTTTGCTTTATCATTCAAACGATCCTTATCTCTTACCTATCAGACTCGCCTTGCATTTCTTTTCTGCTATTCCAGGGTGTTCTCCATGATATGGCGGTGTCTGACGTCACCGTCCATTTGCTGTGCTCATCTTCTGTCCACCTTACAAACCTGTAAGTGCCCAGAAGGCAGAACCACGAGCAAAAATCTCTTTGTCCCTCCTCGTTTAGTGAAATTCCCTCTTTCCCAAGCCTTATAAGATCTCATATTGAAGAAATTTTATTTAAAAAAAAAAGCTTATTTAAATTACCAATGGCTGGAACATCTACTGTGTCCCAGGTTCCATGCTGGGTGTGGGGACAGAGGCAGAGCTGACAATGACAGCAGCATGATGTGTACTATGATGAGCGGAGGACAGAGCAGCCAGCCGGTCAGGGGAGCTTGGGCGTGCTACCAGGGATCTCCTCAGAACCCATTCACCGCTAGGATTTGGGTCATCATGGCCAGATGCTGAGACCAGAGTCAGGTTACCCAGGTTCAAACCTCACTCCACCACTACCAGCTTCTCTCAGCTTTCACCTCTGTAAGTAGAAATAATGACGAGTCTCTTTAAACAGGTAGCACTTAGCACAGAGCTTTTCAGCACCTACACTAGAGGGAGGCAAGTGAAGGTGCAGAATACTAGAGAATGCTGAAAAAATTCAGTAATGAAGGTACCTAGCAGGGCGCCAAACAAAACCCTCCTTGAACAATATATATAATATTTTAATGCACTATTTTAAAAGCACGAAAACGAACGCGAAAAATCCAGCATGAGCAAAATAACAAAAATATAAACAAAGACAGGATGTGCCTGGCCCAGAGAAAGAACGTGGCTCAAAAAACATGGGCTGTGACTGGACAGGAGTTCTCAACTTTCGGGGGCCGTGACTTCTGAAAAACCCAGAAAAACTGGCGGCCCCTCTCCCTAGAAGGACAGCACCAAACACACGCAAGCTGCAGTTTAGGGGTGTTCCCACACTGCCTGGGATGCCTCTAGGTGGAGGTTAAGAACTCGGGTCAGATGTGGAGAAGCGAGGGTGGTGCTGGTGGTGGTGACTGAGCGCGCCATCCAGCCGCCTGCGGGTCCCAGCACCACGCCAGGCCTCCCTCCTGGCAGCCACGGGTTCTCTGCCCCCTGCAGGAAACAGCGCACAGCTATGCGGCTCCCTCCCCCCCTCTGGCTTGGGACTTTTCCTAAAGTTTGCTGAAACCAGACACCTTGCTCCACAGAGCCCGCGTGCAGCCACGGTTTAAAAGGCTGCCTTCAGCGCCCCCTCCCCGCCCCCAGCGGAGACTTCAAAAGGCCTGGCGGGCGCTGCGTCCCCCGCACCTATGAGCCGCCCCCAGCGTCCCGAGCTCACGCCGGAGCCCAAGGACGCAGAGCGGCCGAAGTTCGAGCGCTGCCGGACCGGGTTGGCAGCGCAATCCCGCGCGCCCATGCCCCTCCCGGTGCCGCTGTGCTCTGCGAGCCCGGGCCCCATTTAGGGAAGGGGATCACACACCCCCGCCCCCGCGCCCGAGCCCGGGGCTGCGGGGACCCATGAATACAAATGCCGTTAGGTGCCCGTGGAAGGACGGACCGGCCAGCCTCGCACTTAGGGACCCAGTAAGTGCCCGGGGACGCCTGGAGCTCTGGGAGTACTCCAGTGTGCGTAAAGGTGTGCGCGTATGCAGCGGTGGGTATAATCCTGAGGGCGGGGGACAGAGACAGAGAGAGACAGAGCGACAGTGTGTGTGTGTGTGTGTGTGTGTGTGTGTGTGTGTGTGTGTGTGGTGGACACTGGTGGAGAGCTGCGTGCTTGTGAGGATATGTGTGTGCCTGGGGCGTACGGTGGGGTGTGTGGACACGTGAGAGTGCGTATGTGCAACGTGTGTGTTTCGAGGGGTCTAGCTAGGATAGTGTGCCTTTGTGCATGTGTAAGCACTGGTTGCATGCATTTATCTGAGTGTGTGCAGAATCCCCTTGTTTCAGGGTGTGTTTCGGGGGAGCCCAAGAACACATAGCTGTACCTGCATGTGAGTGTGTCGGAGTATGGAGGAAGCGTGAATGTGGGTGAGAGTGTGTGTGCACAAGCGAATAAGTGTCCGTCTGTTTGCCGTGCAGGAGTCGCGGAGGTGGAGATGAGAGGGGTTTAGTCTCAGGACTGCATGGTGCGTGCGTGTGTGTGTGTGTGTGTGTGTGTGTGTGTGTGTGTGTGTGAGAGAGAGAGAGAGAGAGAGAGAGAGAGAGAGAGAGAGAGCGAGCGAGCGAATTTGCGCGGTGTTTGCTGCCAGTCAGGATGTGCGGCTTTGCGCTCCAGAGTGGAATCCCGGGAGTCTTTGGTGGGCTCTGGTGTGGGTGGAGGGGTAAATCCTCATTTCCGACCTAAAGGAGAAGGGAGAGGAAGGTGACCAACATTTAACACACCAACCCACTAAGTTCTCCAGGGCGCTGTGAATCTCGGGGCTCACTCTTCGGTGGGGCTTAGGTATTAAGACACTGCTTGTGGAGGGAGTCTGGACACCAAGTCCCGGTCCCAGTTCTGTCCTTGGAACTCTGGGGTCCTTTCAGGAGTAGAATCTGCCTCCTTTCACTCCCCCCACCCCCCGTATTCAAAAATCCCCAGTCTCACGAGTCATAAGCTCCTCATCTCAGAGCTGTGATCAATCACGGCGCATTCTTGGGCAATCCCTTGTCTGGGTGAATCCATTGCACCATCTTAACCCGGAGGAGGGGGCGGGTGTCCGGCAGGACTGTCGCGGGCTGGCGGAGGCTGTGTCCCGGCTGTGGCCGGCAGGGGGCAGCAAGGGGCAGCAGAGGGCGGCCCAGCGCGGGGAGGAGGGAAGGTGGAGAGCTGCCGCGGGCCGAGACTTTAAATCGCCTTCATTTCCCCCAAATCCTTCCTTTTCCTCTCCTCCCCCAGGCCGGCGGGGAGGCAGCTTCCACCGCCCTCCGCGCGCCCTCGCCCGGCCTTGTTCTGTCTCCAGGGACTGCCAGCGGCCCGCCTCCAAAGTTTGATCATCTCTTTTTTTTTTCTGGCTTCTTCCTTTTCGTTGGAAGCAGAAAAAGAGCGAGGCAGGGGCGAGCGCGGCGCCCGGACTCCTGGGATCATGGGCCTGGCGCGGGCGCCCGAGGGTTCCCGGCTGCGCTGCCCGCCCGCTGGGGCGCC